GACCAACTAAATGCGCTGCAATCCACCAACGTAGCGTATCTACATTGTGATTTTCAAGGATATCGCTTGGATTTATCACATTTCCCAGCGATTTTGACATTTTTCGTCCATTTCCATCAACGGTAAATCCATGCACAAGAATTGATCTATTAATCGAAAGAGAGTGAACAATTAAAATTCGAACGGTGCCTTTCGTTCAGTTTCAATATTCGGCTCTTACTTGAATGGTGATATGCCTCTTGATGCCACACTTGTAATCAAAGACGATTGAAACCACCCGGTAAACTGGTCGATACCTTCTAAATACAAATCAGCAACATTTGGCGAATCCAATGCATACGACCATGAAATACCCGAATCAAACCAAATATCCAATATGTCCTGTGAATTTAATGAAAATTGTTGAACTTATGAGATAAAATAATTGAATGCTACTGTCATCTCTCCGCATTCAGATTCAGTCTTTTCAGTTCATTGTCTGGTATTAAATCGACAACGTCTTTTGACCACCAAAAATCAATCGTTCCATTTTTTGTAAGCAATTCATTAATGTGATTCACGATGGTCTCCGATACAATCACTTCGCCGGTATCTTTTCGATAAAATGCTGGAATTGGTGTACCCCAAACACGTTGTCTTGAAATGCACCAGTATGGTCGTTGGTCGAATCTTTGTGACAATTGTGTACTTTCCAGCTTTTCAGATTTGGTGTAAATGTCAATGTTTTCTAATTGCGCCAGCGTTGTGTCGCGAATCGCCTTAATATCAATGAACCATTCCCCAATTGTATTACATCTTCTTGTACCATAGTTGATTACCATCTCGAACTATATCTTTACCCTGGAGAAATGTTGGAGCATCACTTGCACTGCTCATCAACCACCCGTTTCTGTGAATAAATTCGAAAATTATTAAATTATCCGAAATAATTTGCAAAATGAACACAATTACAATCGGAATATTTTCAGCTAAACAAACAAGATAATCATCAAAACCATGCGATGGTGCTGTGTGAACTAATCCAGTTCCAATGTCAGCCTTTACATGATTTCCTTTTAAAAATGGCAATTCCGTGTCTTTATCGATTGGATGCAAATATGTACAACTTTCTAAATCGGCCGCATCCACACTCGCATACTCTTCGAATTCAAATGTTTCGAGTGTTTCTTTTAGTTTTGCTATTAGGTCGGTTCCAACAATATAGTATTCGGGTTCGTCATTCAGTCGAATCACTGAGTACTTGAGGTCTGGACTAAAACAAATGGCTTGATTCGCTGGCAGTGTTCATGGTGTGGTTGTCCAAATTAAACCATATACACCATATTCGTCGTATTTCTTAAGTGATGTTGGCACATTTTTCAATTTAAATCGAATATACAACGATGGGCTTACTTGATTACGTGCTATATTCCAATTCAGCTTCTGCTAGTGCAGTTCTATCAATAAATAAGGTTTAAATTGAATTTAACGTCAAAAACTTTTCAGATTGATTGTTATATTTACTTGGATGATGAGTATACTGGTTTCAAATCGCGAAAGATGATCCGTTTTGAATACAATTGATGGAAAAGATTCAATTGATTTTTTATGTAAGCAGGATCATAGGTAAGATACATATTTTCCACTTTGTTCCAATTAGCTGTGACGCCCCACGATTCAAACGCTCTCTTTTGCTCTTTAATAGTAGCCGTCGCAAAGTCTCATTGCTTCGTATTTCGAGTGCATTCATTCCATCTTTAACTGATTTTGCTTTCATTTCGATAGGCAATCCATGACAATCCCAACCTGGATGATAGTGTACACGATTACCGTTGACGATTTGCGTACGAAGAATGATGTCTTTGGCTATCTATGTGATCAAAAGAAAATTCCTGATGAAAATGTCTCAAGTTTAATAAATCAAATATGACAAACCTATAAATATTGTTTGTGGAATGAACGTAAAACGTGAAAACGTGAAAACGTGATTATGACAAACCTTATTGACAGCATGGCTCATGTGAAGGTCACCATTCGCATACGGTGGTCACTGGCATATTCAATGTTTTTGTGTAGATTGTTGCAAATTGACGGCATTGTAACCAACAATTTCGACCGCTTGTTGGATTCAATAAAATCTGATAAATTCTTGGGCACAGTACAAGAATTTTGCCAATGGGTGCTCAAACCGTGGACAATCGCTTGTTATGACATTTCACTCCTTACAATTTATAGAATATTCAATTGCTTACAATTTATTCAGCGTTGAAAACAATCGTCTACAAATATTCATGTTCATTTTTATTTTAAATTAAATAGAATTCAGATTTATGTTCATTGGTGTTTAAATGACAATGCTTTGACATATATGCACAGTGCACACATTCAATAGCTCTCGTTCAAATTGTGTGCCGTATTTACATCGACCAAATGTCAAATACGGTAATTTGTCAAATAGCATATCTGACAGCTGTCAGTTGGCCATGAAGTTAAGACAGTGTCATTTGGCTCAAGTTTTAATAAGAATATTCAACAATTGAGAACAATGTTATTGTCAACGCGAATTCATTTTGCTTCAAAATAGAACGTTATACATGATGTATCAAGTCAGTTACGTTTCTATTCTAAGAATCCCGATGAGGTAGAACAGTGGATATCTGCGCTGGATGTGGCGCAACAAAAACGTATTAGGTTCTTTCAAAATGAAGTAATTATCTGTGAAAATTTTCGTGCTTTTATTTCGAAAATTAATATTATTTCAATTTTAGGTTACCTTGAAACGTGATCAAGGTGAAAGTGTGCCAACAGATAGAAGTAGAACAACTCACCATTGAACAATACCAACATCTTATGAATTCAGCAAATGATCAACGTATAAAATATTACAACTATTTAAATAAAACGGAAAGGTCAAACGCCAACACTCCAGTATGTACAAATTAACTGAATGAACAAAATATATCACAGAGAAAAAAAATTGTACAAAAATAAAAGTAGTAGGAAAATGGGGATTCGAGTGCAGTAGTTGCGTCAACCAAC